CTAAAAGGTCAGTAACTATTTTATTTTTAAGGTCTTGATTTTAAATTTGGATAGCTTAATACAAATATTTACGCACTGTGGACTTAGCAATTTCTTTCAGTAGTGGGACGGCTCACAGAGAAAAGTGCACAGAGGAATTAGGCAAGGTTAATTCTCAGGAACTGGAGCAAAGGAGAGCATCTGAGCTGCAAACATAAATGTTCCCATCTGCTTCACTGGAGAATACTGTATCTGTGAAATGCTTCTTGAAAGGGTATGAAGTGAAACCGTGAAGCACTAGTGGATAATGCAGGAAATGCAAATAATCAGAATTAAGCTTCAGAGGATTTTGCTAGTTGGGGCTTAGGGGGCATAATCAGTTTATAAATGACAGAGCTGTGGTTTTGTAGGAAGTTCTTGTGAAAGAAAAAGATTTAGGAAGCTGACAAGCACCAGGCTGGGTCTAAGGTGGTTTTCTGGATGTGTGGACATTGATACAAAAACTGAATTTGATGGGACCGGGAGTTAAAACGCTGTCTGGATTGTCCTGGTTTGAATGAAACTGTTGTCATCAGTGTGCTGATGGCAAGTTAGAAGCCTGCTTGGCTCTGCACACTCTTCAGTTGTGGCTCAGGCACACCCAGTTTCTTTACTGTGGAAATAATTAAAGAGTGATAAAACCAGAAAGTATTATAAAAATATATTATAAAGGTGTAGGAGGCGGTGGGATCCCTGTGCCTGGCTACTTCTGTGGGCAGGTTAGCGAAGCATCTTTTAGCACTGGTTTAAGTACAGTTGTAGTTTATCCTGGGGATAACTTACACTGTGAGCAATCCAGAAGAGCTCAGCCCCCATGGCACTGTTTTCCATGATCTCTTTGGAACCACTACCTGCTGACGCCTAAGTTTAATGAAAGCTTAAGGAAACCCTAGATCTAAAAGTGCAGATATTTAATTTTTTCCTATCAAACTGCTCAGGTAGGATAATAAACTCACCCAGCGCCAGGTGCTCTGGCACCAGAGCTGCAGGACTGCACCTTGTTGGGTTTCTCTAGGCAACCCCAGTAAAGTCATGGAGTACAAACTGGTATGACTGAGCAAGAAAAATATTTAGCAATCTGCTATCATTGGAAAATTAAAGTCCAAAAGGGATATTACAGTGATGTGGCCAACAAAATCCAAAGCGAAGCACTCGGACTAACTTGAACCATATCTCTGCCCAACACTGAGCAGGAAGGAAAAGAATTAGACGCCCCTTAATCGCTATGAGAGCTGCAGCGCTCAGCAAGTTTCAAGTGTGGACAAGGCCTACAGCATATGGCAGTACCTCTGGTCCTTGTCTCTAGCCTTGACTTTTTGTCGGTCACCTTTTGCATTACAACAGTATTTGCTTTTTTTTTTAACCAAGGTTCTTCAAAGCTTTGTGGAATTAGAAGTGTTTCGATAGCGACGCTACCCTACTAATATTTCTAGTAGGAAATATCCCCTCAGATACACATTTTACTCCATACGGTTTTGTATTTAAAAGACAAATACTTGATTAAGCCTTTGGAAAAGAAGTGTATAAAAATAGTAGCTTAATTTCATCTATCACTAATGAATTCACGATTAGTCTTTATCTGTGGTGTGGGAAAGCCAGCATCAACTATTGCTTTCATAAGAAATATCTCAGATAACTTCATGCAAATCTCCTAGCTCCTCCCTGTGCAACAGTGCATCTATATGTCAAAAACAAATACAAAATCAACGCATTACTTCTTTCCTTCAGACAAATGTTGCAAGGGGAAACACTGAAGATTGTGAGGCACAGACAATTACACTGATGTGAACCACAAAACCAGCCAAACAAAAAAAAAAAAAAAAAAGAACCAAGATAAACTTAATGGTTTTTATTGGTGCCAGGACAAATACTGATGCTTCTGATGTGCAGAATGCATCTGAAATTTGTCTTACCAAGTCTTAGTCAGGCAAATCATCTTTGTACCTGTCAAGTCTTGGCCTTTCTTTACTGCTTGTGACACACAACACAGTATCTGCAGCCAAACCCCTATTGTTTTGGCACCTTTTACAGAACCATTACATGTGAGTGACTTCAGAAAACTATCAATAATTTCTCTGAGCTTCAATCAGGTTCTTTGAATGCAAATGCCTCAATTTCAGTAATGAATGCAAATACTTGTGCTTGCAGTAACATCCCCCAGGCCCTCAGCCAGAACTTGATCAAGTGTCAACCCACAGGAGAGATGGCGCAGGCTCAGGGACAAGATGATTATGCCATCCCCGAGAGCCATCCCCAGCATTTGAATAACCTGGCATGGTACAGGGCTCAACACATCAAACAGCCAAAGATCCCTGCTTTATATTATCTTTGCTGTTCAGGTATCTGAGACTAATTCACCAGTACCAACATGTTGGTAGTGTCTCAACAGTACAGCCAGAGCATTGGTGCTGGGAAGAGGAATACCAGAATACCCTTTTTTTTCCCCAGGAGGATTTCTCTGTGTCACAAATACTTTGACAATTGTTACATCTCCTGAGCAGGCATCATTATGTCCGTCCATGTTAACAGCAAAAAGAGGGAGGAAAGGACAGAAGTTTTGAGGCTGCGTCTACCTTCCCCTCACTGAATACAGAAGCTGAGAAGGGATGGAGTTGTAAGCTGAGTCTGATGTCAAATACATCGAGTCAATAGAGTATATCCATTCCTATAGAGTATCGGTGGAACAACAGGAACCTTCCCAGTGACATTTAATGATCTCCAATATTTACAGCACACAAGTATGCCAAGCAGCTAGTTGCCTTATCTGTTCTTATTACAAATCTGACAAAAGGTGCTTAAAAATAAGTAACAGTAAACCAAATAGCAATATTCTGCCTCTGTACCAGCATCACAGAACTGGTTTTAAAGAGAGTTCATGACTATTCAGGATTCTCATTACAGCTCAATACTGAAAATCGCCTTCTGTTTAAAAAGCTGAGTAATTGCTCTGAAATGCATGGGTTTCCTCCGACTGCTCTGAAATTTGGAGCATCTGAAATTCTGGTGCATGGTAGCATACAGGTAAGGAAGCACTAGAAGCGCATTGCACGTAGGTGTCCTATTTCCTTAGACAGTGACCATCATGATGTCTCTGCTCCCCTATGAAAGTGGGGACCTACGGTCCTTTGCCAGACAACCTTGCACCTCCTTTCTCACCCAGTCTTACACTTACTGCAACCACCACCAACTGAAACAGCCACATTTCTGAACAGAGACTATGTCTGTCTCCTCCGTGGCTCTGTTGACAGCTATGCACTCCTGTCTTTCAAAGTACAACTGTGCTGAAACTGCAGGTGGTACTGCACCCCTTCCCCAAAGCTGACCTTGCCAAAATACGAAACTTTCAGAAGCCAAAGAGTGCAAGGGTAGGGCAAATGCTTACTACCCTATGTAAGCAATGCTCCACTGTGATCCTGATAAACATAACCCTCATGCTGCCTTTGAAAAGGCACCATCTACCCCAGTTCCTCCACTTGCTTCCCCAGGAAACTCCTGATCACATCACAGCTCTGCCTCTGGGCAAGTCCACCAGCTTCCACATGTACTTTCCCTCACTCACCATCACACAGAACCATTTCACTCCTCTTTATGTGATGGCAAACCCCCCAGTTATTTCTCTTTCCTAATACACACCTAGGAGATCTCTCAGCTTGCAGATCCTCTTCCCTTTGCTCTCACATGGCAAGTGAGCTGGAGGAGCTCTGTCCCTGCTTCAGATCTGCCAGCCCATCCAGACAGCAGCATGTCACATCCACGCCTCTGCACGGGCAGCCAACTAGTCCTTCAGCACCCATTGCAGCTTCCCTTTATACGCTGCAGTAACATGATAACTGAATTAAAAATAAAGATTCTATTTCTTTTTGTTTTGAAATTGCACTTCAAAATAAAAAGCAAATATTTGTTTCAGTTTGTTTTGCAATATCGGGGGGGGGGGGGAATTTTCATCTCAAAAGAAAATGTAAGAGGCATTTTAGAAAAGAAAAAACCCAAGTTTTCCAACTAGATCTACTTATAGAATATCCCCTTTCAATTAGCTGCTGTGTTCCAACTGCCCAAATCAAGAACAAGAGGAAATAACTTAGCTCTGACATACAGGCATAGTCTAAGTTAGAAAGTACTTCGACTAAACAGATGGTGACCTTTCATTAGGGAGAAAGCATTTGTAAAATCTCAATAAGAAACAAATTAGTCATCATGGCTAGAAGTTAAGAGCCAGTACTAGGTGAAAACAGTCTGATGTACACTGTTAGAAAAGTTGCTTCAGTCAATAAAGGAACCCTCTCCACTGCCACAGCAAAATGTTCCATTTCAAGGTTGCAAGGGCTATTTTATTCTTTCTGAAGTAACCATAGTAGCATCACAACTAGACACAGTGTGAGCCAGGAGTTTGTTTTCTTTCTGCTACTGCAGAAATTTTGCTGTGTTTTGTTTCCTCAAATGCAGAATTAAAACCACCCTCACTTGTGACAAAGGTTTTTAATTCCTAGCTTACAGGAACCATTTCACTGTTTTCTGTTCTTCTTGCTTGCTTACGACTCCCAGACAAAGAATCTCCACCTCAGATACTTTTATCTTTTAGGAAAATGAAATAACACTGAGGAATCATGAATCTCCATAGTGTATTATTACATGAACTGTGTTACGTATGGCACAAAGTTAAGCTCTAATGTTGGAGGACAGGGGCCCACACATACATACATAAAGCCACTCAAAATTGTTGCTATAAAAACTATTTAAAATCTCATGATGTCAAGAGGTTTGGCATACAAATAAAAACTTTTACCCAATGGCTAGGAATATATTGTTTATATATCTATGAAAGAATATATATATAAAAGCAGCTAATAAAACCTTTTAGGTTCTGTCATCTCTTGTTCCTTACCGCAACACATCTAAAAGTGCATAGAAAAATGAATTTATAAAAGCAAACTCCACTGTGCTTCACACTGACATAAAAGAAGGAATATGTCTGGGGTTCTTACTTGTTTGGTACCTCTGGAAGTCCAGCGTACACCAGGTGTGTCGTATCTTCTGAAAGAAGGTGTTTTTATTCAGAATAGCCAGGAAACCTATGGAAGAGACAAAACACCTTCAGGACAACTGAAAAGTATTTCAGGGTTTTGCAACCACCACTGTCATATGATGCTGCAATCATCTAAAAAACCCTTTGAAAATGTGATAGTTACTGTAAAGAGAAGAGAGACTGAGGCAAGTGGGGAGAGACAGAAGCATTTCAAACTGGGCTCTGACTAGAACCAAGTGGGCACCTGAAAAACTAGAAACCTTTCTGCTGTATTTTACAAGAGAGTTCACTGCTTTCAGCACAGTTTTCTGTATGAAATATTGTAGGTGGGACAATATCCCTATAAATCCTGCTTCCAGGCAGAGCCTGGGAGGGCTGGGCTGCCTGTCTGTGAGATCTGTTGTGCAAATTTTGTGCCTTCCACTCTGGTGTGGAAGCAAGTTGGACAAGTTCATTACTGACACTATTTACACTGTCACTGTACAGCTCTTGTGAGATATTCATTTGAAACAAAGTAAAGAAAACTTTGTTTTCATTTCAAATGCAAACTGCTTTAGAGATTATATTTTAGCTTAGGAATAATATTATAACCCTTCGAGGATCCTGGAGAGGTATGTGTATTAACTTGCTAAGGACCTGCTGCAGTACTGAGGAGATTAGTAACACATGACTCCTGCTACAATTTGCACCCAGAAAGATAGGAAGGAAATCTTCTCAACTTTGAAAGGATTATTTTGGTTGTTTACTGAGTGCTGTCCCTTTTGGTCTTAAATTGTAGATGAAAGTGGAAACCAGCAGTGCCTGATTTCTATTGCAATGTGATGGAAATGAGAGGAGCAGCTTTAGCAGTTTGCCATGTGGGTTGGAATGGGAAAAAGGGGTCGTATGTTATCATTCTGACTTCAGCCACATAAAACAATATCACAGCTTTTCTCAGTTAAGCTAAAATTCAGGGTTTGGCATGTTATATGCGTTAACACACCTTCAAGCAGTGTGCAGGTCCAAAGGACAAACCTGGTATACATAACAGAGTAGAACTGGACCCACTGATACCTGGCAAAACAAGTTTCCACCAGAATAAGAGAAAGCCTCTTAACCCCCTTTTCCCCACTGTGCAGTATATGGATTTGTGTACATGTGAGCAAAAGAGTAGCCTGTAATTTCCAGGATTTTCTTCATGTTGAGAAATCCCCATATTGCATAATTAGAGGAGATGCTGAAAGCCAAGACACATAATGACATCAGTGACTGGAGAACAGAGCTGTTAAAGGACAGTAAGTTCTGCCTAATTTCATACAACACTGACGGTGTGCACTAGCTAGCATGTAACATGGGCGGTCAGCTCAGCGTGTTCACTCCGGGTCGCTGGGACACAGAGGAGACTAACTGAGCTGCACAGAGGAGGTGCCAGCATCAGGCAGGCCAGTAGGTCTGATTCACCCGAGCGCCAATTCCTGCCTCTGCGGGTTCTTAGGAAAACCGAGAGCTCAAAGGACTGCTGCATAAAGCCAGACAAGGCAGGTAGGCTTCCTCGTCCTGAATTCGAACTGCTGAACTGGTCTGTGCACCCGGCAGTGCTGATGGGCGCCTCAGGACGTACCCACTGGAGCTACCCGGGGGTGAGGGGTCACCAACATCCTTCAGACGTCGGCTGGTATTACTGAGAGGTAATACAAAGGCTGAGCCACCTCTCTGCTCAATTATTTCACTTCTGAATTCCGGGGATTTGTCAGATTCAGAGGAACCTTTAACTTCACTAGTGATTTCATCAAAGCGAGTTTAATTCCTTTCCCCACATGAAGGAAAAATATGAATCCAGATCTTTTCAGGAAATAATTTTGGGGAGATTTCGGGGGCAGGGCATTTTGGACCAATTCAACTTAAAATATCTTATTTCAACCTTCTTCAAAATACTTATCTTTTCCTATTACCAAAAGAAGAACATAATTATGTATGAAGTTGAAGTAAGCCAGACAAAATGTTTTGATATGAAATATCAGCTGAAAACAAATTTGTCCTTTCCAAATCTCAGTGAAAATCAAAGTTTTTGTTCTACTGATACATGAACAAGAATATACTGACAGCACCCAAAGAAGAACATTTGGTGAATGGAAGCAGCCACAGGATTAAGAGTTTCCTTCTTCTTTCTATGCTAAAGAATCTAAAGGATTTGAGGCATAATACTTAGGATTCATTTGCATTTCCTATTTCCAAGGAGTGCTGACAGCTACAGAATAATATGACTTTTAATATCTCTACCTCTAGTACAGTGCCTGCATTTGTAAAAATGCTATAAAAAGTTAGTTTTACTGGTGAATATGAATAATGTTTATAAATCCTTTTTTCTTCTGTAAATGTCATGACAAGCCTGATCTAGAAGTCAGGGGTAAAGCGGAGAGTGGACACTTGAGTGATGGGAAAACTCAGTGCCCTGTGTTTGAGGGCCTTTTGTCTCTGTAAGTGCTTTGAAGCAAGGAAATGCATGCTTGGCTCAGCTTCAGAGATGAGAAGCAGCCATTGTTCACACAACTCATAGAAACACAGCTAATGTATTTAGAAGTGATCATTTCAGTAATAAAAGCAAATCTTTTTCTTATATTCTTGTAGTGATAGTATTCCTTTTTTTTTTTTCCTATTCAGCTAATTTCCCACTGTCACTATCCCAGTCTCTACCTATATTACACAATCTAAGTAAAATTATCTTAATAACGCATAAAGTGCTCCATTACGGCACCCCTTCAGAACACATAAAACCCAGTAGAAGACAAAAGCCCATCACAGCTCCCAGCTTCCAACAGCTCACAGTTAAGCTTCTGCAGATCAGCTACGGGGGTGCTGAAATTTAACGTGTAGGGTTTTTTCTGTCAGGTGAAGACTGACTTACAAAACCATTTCTGCATTTATAAACATCTCTCTCTGAACTGGCAATACCACCAGTCAGTGCGTGCCATTAACTGGGGACGGTTTGCCAAAGATAACAGACCCTGCTGAGGCTGTGCCCATGCAGTGCCACGCTTTGTACAGAGAGCCCGGACAGCCCTCTGTGGACACGTACCGTCGCAGAGAGCTCCGGACCGCCATGGAGACATCCCAGGTGGCCTCTCAAGAATGGTGTAACCACAGCAGTGGGAGCCCATGCCCAAGCTCACCTCTGCTGCTTAGTATCTGGTTATTCAACAGCACACAAAGCGCCTGGTGGAAACGCATCAATCCTGGCTTACAAAAGGCAGATATCTGCATACTGCCACCCTCCTCTGAAGAAACAGTGGGCTTGGACTCCACTCTGAACCAGCAGCCTGCTATCAACTAAAGGAATATCAACTAAAGCTTGCACAGCATAATAAATGAAGTTTACCATGTACATGTGAACTAGGCATTTACGTTCATTCATAGGTGATTTGTAATTGTCCAATTCAGCAATCAGTAGATGTTTTCAGAGAACTTGAGTGTTGTTGACTTGCTAAGGTCTATGGTAATGTAAACTTGAGGGTGGCATTAGTTTGGTTCACTGGGGGTTGCATCAGTACCTTGCAGTGAAGCCCCAGGAAGGGAGAATCAGTACCCTGCAGTGGGCAGGAGCCTTACGGGGTCTTGTCCCACTTCTGTCCTTCCTCTAATTCCACATCAGAAAAGAGCCTCTTCTGTTCTCATCTTGGCACTGATCCTTTCATCTTCAGGATAATTTAGCTGGCCTAGTCATCAATTATCCGGGGGAGTGAAAGCACACTGGGGACCCAGTGCACAGAGGGTCAGGTAGCCTGGGTTCTGCAGGGGCTCTGTGAGCAGTCAACAGAGAGGAATGGGGCTATACCTCCTGTTCTCTGTGAGTGCCCAAGCTCTTGGAAAGCAATTGTTGGTAGTGCTGTGAAAGATGCATACCTTGACATCATGTTTTCCTAAGACAGGCAGTCTCAGAGATACACTACCCACATAAAAAGAAGGTGACCCCAACTAAAGACCTTTTCCTGAAGGCAAGTTATCCTACCGCTTTGCTCTGCAAGATTCTTTTTACTTTCCTTTGAAGCATCAATATGGCTACTATTAGGGTAAAATTCAGTTCTAGATGGACCAAAGGCAATCCCTTGAGTTTCTACTTAATAATTACATCATGCCCTTAGATTATTATCTTGTCAATGCCATTCTTCATTAAGATTTGTTAGCGGACAAGGGACAGAATGTCACATCCTCAAAATTCATGAATGAACAAACAGCCATGTGCTATCAGACAGAAAGCCAAGTGCAGCCTGACTGACCCATCTCAGATGAGGAATCAAACAACAAAGACATTGGTAGAAAACTCTCTTTGTCTTTCTTGGGCTCATCCATTATAACAATGTTAAATTGCTCACAGGAAAAATGTTCAGCCATTAGGCTCCCAGGCAGTGATTGCAAAAAAGCAGACCTACAAAGCACTACTTTCACTGCCAATCTTGTCAAAAAATCTTTCCCATCATATTGATTTGCAGTGTCTTTCAGTACTGCTTGGGAGCAGGGGGGAATTAGTCCTGCTTCTGTGTTTGTAAATAAAAGATTTGGTGCCTGAAAATTTTTCATAATATTCAAATATTTTCCGCAAACATATCTGGATGGTTTTGACCTAAAATTGTACATCTTTTTCCTTAAAGACTTGCTTTAAGGATGCAACACCTATTCTTCTACCCAATACTAATATCTCCTCACCTCACAATTCATAGGAGTACTATGGTGATTAATGAATGTCCTTGAACTGGAAAGTGCTATCTGAGTGCTAATTATTATCCGTGTATACACAGACTTCTGCTGCTTTCAAGGGCAGAGCGTTCACATACCACAGTAATGGGAAAGCTTAGAAAAACATTTATTGATACCTAGAAGTTTTATCCACCACAAAAATGTATAAAGGAAGAATAAATTAAAAGTTAGATGTTTTAATTCATTAGTGCGTGTTCTAGTGAACCGCTCTCCATCTGTTTAATGAGTTCAGGGCAGCTGAAAACAGAGTTTAGATTGGAGGCTGCTTACAACCTTATCTACTTGCACTCTCAGTAATACTAATAAGAAATATAAAAATATGCTATTGCCCATTGTGAGAAGCACAGTTAATGTGACTGCGAATCTGACGTGTAAATTGCAGGCTACGGATTCATCCAGATTCTGCCTCCCAGATGCTAGGGCTCAGCGTGGATCAATCCCAAGCTCCCACACACAGCATCCCTCTCCCTCACGTGCCTGAGGACGTATTTCCTAAAGAAACTGTTAGCTAATGCCCCACTAAGGTTTTTTGAAGTTTTTTTATCTCATCCATCTTTAAAATGACGTGGTTTGAGTGTAAACAATATTTTCAAACGTTTCCATAATGAGGATTCACATTCATCAGGCAGTGCTAACTGCTTTCAGAGTTCCTCTGCTCCTGTTACTCAACAACCAGCCTGGGAAGGCTCAGGAAGCACATGCTCAGCACGTATAAAACAGCCGTTCCCATTCACCAGCTTTGCTCTCCTAGGACATGTTAATTAAAGTCAACTGATTGAAAAAATAATTACAGGAGAATAGGGAGGGAAAAAGCCTAGACCCATAATTTAAAGATCTCTGAAGTTTGTGTTTTGTTGAGAGGTAATAATTTTGTTGAGAGGAAATAGGTTCTCTTTTTCCTTCTCAGACTCCCTCTATCTTCAGTGCTTGCAAAGACATGTAATGGCAACAGGCAATATGCAGCAACCTTCCTTTATAGTTCCACAAGTACCTGTGGACTTTTTGTTTTTTCCACATATGCTTTCATCTAGCGTTCGTCACTGTTGCATCCCGAGGTGTCCCAAAGACACTGCAATGCCTGACCTAAAAGGTTACATGATCCTGAACGCAGTTGTTCTGTAGGATGTGGAAAAATGTAAACATTCTAACTGTTAAAAACTTCTATTGTAACATTTCTTGCACTAAATAAAAACTGGTTAGGGATCTTTCTTGATGCTGCCCCTACTTCAAACAAAAACATGTCAACAAATCAAAACCAGGGAAAACAATTTAGCACTTTAAGCTAATAATAATTGTTTTAGAAACCCATATTTGCTCAAGGGTATAATTCATTCAAAAAATGACCTTAAAACTCAGCATTAAGCAAACATAAAACCTTCGTTATTTGGGAGTGAATGTTTTTAAACTGCTCGCTCTCAAATTATGACCTGGCATTTCTTGACAGCTGTGTCCCACCAGCTGCCCGAGCATTCCCAGCAGAGAACGGCAGCTCTGCCAATGCCAGCCTAGGGGCTGGGAAGCCCTTCAACTCTTTGCTACGTCACAGCCTTACTGTATAATCTTGGGCAAGACACTTGCTTCACGCTTGTCCTGTAAAACTGGGGGAGTAGCAGCCTCCTCCCCATGTACATGCAGAGAGCATAAATAGGTTACAAAAGGGAAATTTTGTATTAGGTAATCAAATATAATTCTTAGAAAGCTCTGACTGGATGGTTTTACAAAATGATGGTGTGATTTTGGTGTTGTACCAGCCTTCCCACAGGAGGATTTGGTTTAACCAAAGCACTGACTGTGTAGGACAAACAAGTTCTGTAGTGAACCAGAGAGGGTGGTTCATGTTCCCTCATTGTTTGCCTATACCAGCAGTGTTTGGAACTGTAACACACTTGCTTTGAAAGCTAATCCTTCTTCCTTAATCGGACTCTCCTAGGGCTTTAGAGTTAGTATTTGCCTCTTAAATAACAAATATATGTGCAAAAAGTCCATCCATACAACATACACATTCACACAACAGGCACAGATGGACCTCCACAAGGACCCATAAGGATTTGACTTTGCTAGTGCTGGAAAACTTAGCAACATTTCCTTTTAGTTTTATTTTTAAAGGGGTGAGAAGGGTTTAAGGAAAAAAAAAAATTAAAATACACAGTTAATGTCTGCCATAATTTTAACAGGAAATGAAGCTGAATTCGCCTCTGTATAGAGACAACACTCTGCATTCATTCAAGATACAAGGATCCAGTAGTGTTCCTGGCCTGGAGCTCCAGCTGCTTTACACACTGAATGCACATGGTCACCATTAAATAACCTTGTCAATCAGAGTCACAGAAATCACTTCATCAGGACAGCACAACTAGCATTCTTCTCTGATGCATTTTAGAAATTTAAAGTATCAGTTAATCAGCAAACAAGTTACCCCAACTACAAATATTCCAGGTACACTGAAAACAAATCCTTAAAGACTTTTCATGGCATAACTACTTTGAATCATCATCTTTCCACAACCCGTCCTCCTGAAAAACTAATGTTACAGTCTTTCTGTACTTAAAACTTCCTTTCAAACAAAGACCACCTTCAAAAACCTTCCTATAGACCGGGTCACACTGACAATTAGAAATAGGAGAAAAGCCAAGCGATCGCCACCCCTGCAACCTACTGCTGATCTCCAGCCTGAGCCCTTGTGTTCAGTAATTTGCTGATATGAAATCCAGTTACATTTTTGGGAACCAGTTCCACTGCCTGTGGTCTAATGCACCTTCCTTCGTGTTACTGAAAAATGCAGGACCAGCACAGTTATGTGGCAAAAGCATTTATTTAAATTAATAAAGCCATGTAGCACCATTAATGGTTTTCCTCCCCGGTTCCCATTCTTTTGGTTTTTCGCTTCTTAGTATTGTACCAGAAGGGACATGGTTCCAGTGGGACTATTCATGGGCTTAAAGTGAGGTACTTGCCTTAGGGCTGTGCTTAACAAGGGCTTTAGAATGACACACAGCGTGCCCACCTGGGACCAGGGCCGCTGCCCTTTCACCAGCACTGTGCATAACAGCAAGTGTAGAGCGAGCAGTGAGAATTCGCAGAACTGAGCCCAGAAACTCGCCGGGAGCTCCCGGGCAGGAGAGGCAGCCGTGCCCCTCGCTCCGGCACAGACAGCCCGCTTGCTGCCCATGCTCTCAAGTCTTCTGAAAGCCAGTAAAGGGCGGTCCAAGCACTGTGACCAGTATTTCCCTTGGAAATCAATACGCCTGCAGAGCTTTTTCAACAGGTGACAGTGACCTGTGCTGCACCATTTGGACTGTTTTTATCAAGGGTGAAGCAGGCAGCTGCCAGGTGCTCATCCTTCTCCCCGTATCTGACATGCAAGGTGCAGCTCTTCTGATCGTCTCCCCCACGTTATCTCACTTTACGGTTTTCATATTGTTTTTCTGGTCCAAATAAAAAGTGCTTGAAGCAGGACAACTAATAAGAGGGGTTTCTGTGCAAATTCTAGTCATAGCATGACCATTTTCCCCAAACTACGCTTTTAAATGACATTCTACATTGTCTTTCAACATGTTAGAAACAGTGACATATAATTAAAGACAAACTGATGGGGCAGAAATGACTGGATGACTGCAGTTAACTCTACCAAAGAAATACTAGATAAATCAGTTATTTGTTCTAAACAAGGACTTAAATCTACTAATCTGCATTGAAAAAATAAATATGTTGAGTTTTAGGGGTTTGTTTTTTCACCTCTTGTAGACGTGTTACGCCAGACTTCCAGATGAGAGGACGAGACTATGAGTGAAGAGTGTCCTGGAGATTGCACGCCGTTCTTTTCCTGGGTCAGAACTGGATTGATCTGAGAACAATAATTATGAGGCTGACATGTATGTTCTCCTTTATCTTGCTGTTTGGAGCAGCTGGACTCGTTGTCTTCATTCACCTGCAGGATCCAGAAGAAATAGTTCATCAGCAGACACCAGGTTAGCATTCCTATTCCTGTTTGATTCACTTGCGCTTTCATGCTCAACATTTTGTACTTATACCCTGAACGTGTTTTACATATTTCACAGAGGTTGCCTCAACAAAGGTATGTAATCTTTTTAACAAAGGCTATTTTGAAATTAATTAACAATTTGGGGGTTTTTTTAAAAACAAAAAAGAAAGAAAAAAAAAGAGAGGAGTTTGCTTAAAAAACAGTTCCAAGAACAAATTAACTGATTATGCAAGGATCTTTGCCAAGGTGCACAGGGTGCAGCTGAATAGAGTTAATTTTCTACTAAAATTAAGACCAGTTCTGCTACGAGCTATTACCACTATAAATATGAAAATGAGAAATTTCTCCAAAAGTTCAGTTCCTACAAATACATGCCTCTGAATCCACCTTTCCCTGTACATGGTATTCAATATGTCATAGAGATGCAAAGTAAGAGATGCATGAGTCATGCAAGAAAACATAAAATACTTTAATGTACTTAACTTCCACTAAACTTTTCCTAACTTTCATGCATATGCATGCCTTCCTCCTGCACTACTAACGTTAAACTGTGGAGACCACAAAGACCACATCAGCATGAGAGCTAGGGAACTGTGAGAGGGCCATGCAAGAAGTATGAAAAAGCATGAGACCTCTTGATTTACTTACAATCACTGACTTTGACAAGGACTGTAATGAAGGCTGGTTTAGAGCCTAGACAAATGCAGGCACTCCAGCTCCTAACAGCAGCCCCGTGTGCCAAGGTTTGGCCACTATGTTTGCTCTTATATGCAGTGAAATTCTCCTTTAACTAAATACATGCTTTATAATGTCTGTTTGACTGACATCTTCATTGTACAATGAACAGGACTGTGTATATTTTAAAGCATTACTAACATTTTTAAAGGAGATGAACCCTAACACAGAGAACTCATATAATTACATTAAGTGCTAATTTTGGTGTCCAGGTTTATTAAGTGCTTATTTCCATGTCACTAAACAATCTGTACTTTAATATGTTTACTATTTAGTCCAACTGCACACCAATTTTGAAAGCAGCCACTCAGCTGAAACTACAGAAATAATGAATCATCAGTGTTGTGCAAAGCAGACAATTAACCAGTCCCTTCAGTGCTTTTGCAATTTAGTTTTGTATACTTAGATGCAAAAGAGCTGAGAGATTAAAATTGGTGGTACTGTCCACGTTTGACTGAAATTGGCCAATAGACTGGGGGTGAGGGGAAAGACATATAGACAGTAAATGCAGGCAGTACTCTAACGCATCTAAAAATGTGTAATTTTACATTGAAAAGTTAATTCTTTGCTCCTGGAAGAGAAAGAATTTCTAGTGGTATCTCAAAACCTGGGCAATTTCTTCTCCATTTTTTCATTATTGGTCTCTCATCTTGACCACTTGCACCTCTGTTCTCTCTGCCACAAACCTCTTGAATGCAGACTGCTGATTGTAGTACGCTGTGAAGTGATTTTTGAGAGCAATGTAACCATAGAAGGGGGCACCCAAGCACATTTAAATAAAAGCAATGAACAGAGCTCCTACCCCAGCAGGGAAACTTCCTCCGAACCGTACTAGGTTGCTGTGGGTAGGGATCTGCATAGCTAAAACATGAACATCCCAATGATGCTGTTACTGCCAAAGACGTGTAATCAATTGCTCGATTCTCACATTCAATTACTATTTATGTTAACAGGAACCAGACTGTACCCTTGAGTAAAAGGTGCTCAATACAATTACTCTTATTTCTGTTTGGCTGATTTTCATGTGTGTTAAGTGCTTTCAACTCCCAGTGGACTCGGAAACTCCTCATATCCACTGCTTCTGAAAATGATACCAGTTATCACTAAAACATATTACGTGGCTTAAAAGACACAGGAAAATATATCCATTCATTTCATTAAAAAGAGAGGTAGGCATATTTCATCTCTAGACAGTCTCCTATGAAAATCTGTCAATCACAAGCGACATTTTTGGCGTGCTGAGTAGGATCCTTCCCTTCCCCTGTTCAGTGTTTCTCCTTAAAAGGGCCTGTTTCTAATGGAGATCGGATGTTGCCATCATTTGCTTGTCTGATTGCTCCCTCAATAGAATTGAACAAATGTATGTGTCATTAAGCTACTTAGGACAACAGATTCTGCACGGCAAAGTTTTATTGGATTAGCCTTTGCTTCTGTAGTTACCGTGGAGTAAAACATATTTGCCAGACACTGGAATCTCATCAGGAAGGCTGGAGGAAAGTCAGTAACGTTTATTTTCCACTGAAAAGCAGCGTAGGAGAATTTTGCATTGTCCAAAAGGGCATTTTTCATTGTTAGCATGTTCAGTCATTTTTAATTTAAGACAGTACAACTTATGAAACATGATTAATAAAAATACTTCAGTACTTTAGTTTTATCTGTCTGTTCCGGAAATTGTTCTTGATTGTTTTAGTCCTAGCAAGCATGATGGTGAGACCTTGATGTACTACTTAAACCAGTATAAAATCCACAGTCATAAAACTTTAAGTAATGCTTACATTACTTTCACTGAGCAAAGTACTCCTGACAGTAGCTGTTTGTGTTGATTTGTTACTATTCATTTATTCTTTCCCTGTGCTTCACATTGCTACCTAATTGTGATGCTGTACTGAGAAAGCAATATCAAAGTAATTTTCCACAACATTAGTTACAATTTTCTTCTGATCTTTCGAGTGAAACAATCCCATCCTGTTGGCTTCTGTGAGCATATAAACCTTGATTACATTTATCTGCTGGAAACCAATGCTTACAAAGTATATGTGCCCGGGATAGTGGGTGTAGAGGCTTTTCTGCTGATTGACAAACATGCTGTCGGTGTAGTTTTATTTATATAATGCACATCACTCTGAGCAGATATATTTAAGACAGACAGCCATTTAGGGTGGGCAAAACAGATTTTTCAAGCCAATATATTAAACTCAGTAGATATTCCTGTGGTCATTAAAGAGACAATAACTTCACTTACAACAGTCGTTTTCTCTGCATCTGTGAAGAGTGCTATTACTATGGAGAATGCAGGATAAAGCAGGGATGTGGGTTGAGAAGTGGTTATGAATGATAGTCATACACCGTACAGAAACGCAATGCTCTTCTAATAATTCTCCCTGTATAATTATATAAAACCTGGCTCCTGCAGTAGTCATGCCATTATTCTTAAACAGACACAGTAAAGGATTTGTTTTGGGTAAGTCAAGCACATTTGCACATGGTGCACAAGAAAAATTTAATACATATATCCCCATCCTAATACTAATGACTCTTGAATGTATTAATCTCCTGTCTGTGATAGGATATGAAAAATCTTTACAGTAACTAAATGTGCAGCCGCTCCACCCCTGTGTTTGTCCTGGAACCACTGTGGTTAGCATGAGGCTTCCTCAGTGTCATGGCATGCCCCTCTCTCAGGGTTTACAGTGGAAGAGTTGACAGGGCTAACGAGCACCTTTACAGCCTTGGCCAGGGCCACTGCAGTTTATGGGATCACTGACAGCTGAGAACTTGGACTGTGAGAGCTGCTTTTGGGTGGTACAAGAGAGCGCAACTGGGACAAACAACATCAGCAAGTGAGAGAAGACTCTGGAGGATGCAACCCACCCTGACAGATCTCGGGTGGATTTCAAACACCTACACACTTCTGAGCTGCAGACTAGCCCATCCATGGGCTGGAGACAGAACTGTGGTCATGAGTAGCAGGTGGTCAGATGAGGTGAATGCCAGGACCACTGCTTCCGCGTTGCATCAGGGACACAGTATCTATAGCTGGACTTAAGACCATGGGCTTGATGGACTTTAGTGAGAAGGGATATTCTAAAATGGTATCTACTTTTCTAATAGGAGATTTTGCTAAATAAAAACTAGGGGAAGTATTATTATTCCTCTACACCTATATTGACCTAGCAAAAATTTCTCTAGATATGGTGACTAAGACTCTGAAAAAAATGACTGGGGTTTTGCCATATGGTTACTGAATTCACAAACTTGTAAAAGTTTTCAGTTAGAACTCCGAAGATGAATATGTATGGACACACACTCCTCTGGGAGCTGGTAAAAGGTGGAAAGCACATCTCAAAGCATGCATGTTGTGAAAGCTCCAAAAGGGTGAAAACATGGAGTAGAATGGAAATGGCTTTGCACTCTATCAGATTTTGAAAGTCAAATTTGAATATAACCAAGCCTGAAGCTGACTGAGGTTCTGCAGTGACTGCTGTCCTTACCTCATCTACCAGTTTCTAACATAATACTGTCATCATCTTTATTCTCTGCTTTACTAAGGGTGTGATGGGGAGGAGAGGGAGGAAGGAGAGAAGGCAGTCGGAAGGGCTGGCGTGCCAGTGCTATTGCAAGCTTGATGGCACAAGGGAGCCACGGTGCAGTAACCTTAGAGCAAATACCAGTATTATAGCTAGTGAAATTTTCTTAATTACTTATTCAGAGCACATACACCTTGTTACTCACAAATTACAGTCCTATGCACATCTCCCTGTTCGCTGTACATTTCCATAATACCATCCTAGTGCACAATGTACCGCTTGTTTGTCATACTGGAAACTTTTCATAAATAGAATTGAAAATGAACCAGCATTGATATGTAATTTCAGAAGTAATTTTCCTACAATTTGTAACTTCTCTTTATAAACTGGAAGCCATTTAATCTGGTTCTCAACTAACGGCATCAGCAGAAATCATGAACAAAAGAACCCGGTGCCTGTAGCGGAGGTGAGTGGGCTCACTGATACTCTTCGAGCAGAAGCAGCATACTGTTATGTGGGCAATGGTAGCTCCCACCAGCTGAAGACTGGATGAACCTTCTGCAGTCACATCCTCTGAGTCTCCTTTAGCTG